CTTCACCAATCATCAAACAGCCACCATAAAAGATCAAAAACAAAAGAACAAAAATTCATAAAAATCACTTCCCAAATCTGTAAAAAAAAAAAAAAAAAACTTCAAACTCATCCATCTCTTTCGTCGACGTTGATGTTGATGTCAAAATCGAACGCATGAATCCTTTGAATCTTTGAATCCAAGGATTAGGGCAACTGGGTTCCACGAACCCAATTCTGGGTTCCTTGTGGAACTCAGATCTAGGTTCCATGAGGAACCCAGAATTCCTTGTGGAACCCACATCTGAGTTCCACGAGGAACCCAGGAGGATGATGTTCTGGGTTCCTCGTGGAACCCAGCAACTGGGTTCGGCAAGGAACCCACTGGGTTCGTGGAACCCAGTTTTGGGTTTCTCGTGGAACCCAGCAACTGAGTTCAGCAAGGAACCCACTGGGTTCGTGGAACCTAGAAGGATGATGAAGAGATGGTAAAGACGATGCTGAGGGTGAGGAGAAAGAAGAAGATGAGCAAAAAAAATTTTTTTTTTCAAATAGGCAAGAAGATGAGAAAATTAAAAATTAAAGTTAAATATATTTTAATTTATTAGTTCTAGTTTTTTTTTTTTTGTAGTTATTCACCAAAAAATTATGCCACGTCATTAAAAAAAAAGTCTACATTGGATTAAAAAGTATTCACATTGGATTTTTAACGATACATAGTGTCACGTTAATTTTTGGGTGCCACGTAGTACATTTTGTAATGGCACCGTGACAGCACGTTAAAATATTGAGTTTTTCATGGGTTTTGAAAAGTTGAGGGTGTGAATAGGAAAGAAAAATTTTGAAAGCTGTTGACCATGAAAAACAATTAAGTGGAGGGTGCAAATAGCCCCTTTGGCCTATTTAAAAACCGTTCAAAGAACTTTTACTCTTTCAAAAGCCATTATTGTCTTCTCTCTAGTTTTCTACACAACTTCTGCCTCACTTAACACCCAGCTAACCCCATTACTCCTGTCAAAAAAAAAAAGCTAACCGCATTACTAACTATCATTTAATGAAATTTTACCTCAGCTCATTAATTAATTAATTAATATTTTCTTAAATTTAAATTAGTGAGCCCACTAATTCCATGTCAGCGACCTAGCTAGCCCCCATAGGTTTGGTGTCGGCGCCTACTCTGCAGTGTCAATAGGAAGTATTAAGCCTTTAAAAGACAAGTTCCTCTAAGTGCTAATACTTACATTTTGGTGTTGATGCTAAATGCTTTTTCAGCTTTAAGAATTTTTATTTTTGTCACAAGTTCTACTTCTTTTCTAATAAGGTTTCTTAAACTTTATACATACTCATTCAAAATTGACTTGGGAGCATTTTGGAGGAGACTAAAAGAGAGACGACTAAGAGAAACTTAATATCAAAAAAAGATCAAGCTTGAGATTTTATATTATCAGACTAATTTTACTTCTTGTTAAATTTTGTTTTATAATATCAAATACTCTTATATTTATCATGTGATATTTAATTTTCTTTTCTTTAATTATGAACTAATTTAGCTATCTATGACTATGATATAACCTAATCAATTTGATATAGAATTTTATGATTTTTATACTTTCAAAACTTATTATTTTATGTAGAATATATATTATTGTTTTTAATACTTTCTTATTCATTGGCTATCATTAAAATTGATTTGAAGAGCATAATTGAGACTAGTTTCTAATAATATATATCATGAATTAAACTAAAGCCATAAATGATCTAACATGATTTTTTGCAATATTAGTGATAAGTTGACTTGATTTTCTACGTAAATTAAAGAATTTCACATAACATAATACATCTTTATTTATTTAAATTCATATGAAAATATAGTAAGTTAGTATGTAAAGATAGGTTTAGTATAATTTGATAGGATAATGGTAGATTTACCCTCTCTTTCCACACACTCCGTCACATCTTTTAAGTTTCGTTACTGTCTGTTAATTACACTTAACTCTCCGTTACCATCTTTCCTTTCTCTTCCTCGCTGTTCAC